TTAGACCATTAAGTTACAAAATGACAGAGGTTAATAATTTCAAAGATAATTCAATTGAACTTTTAAGTATAACTTATAGTTATATAAAAAATAAATACATTTAATACAGTATATAATTGTTATATTGTTAATGATAAAATATGAAAATTGCATTGAACATATTTTTTAATAGATTTTAATAATTTGATATGACAATTTATAATAATTTCATAAAATAATATTCAACTTTATTCAAAACGCTAGAAATATCTCATAAATTAAAATATTTAATTTCATAAAGATTATATTAGACGAATGAATCACATTTAATAGCTATTTTAGTTAAACGCAAGTAAATTCCGTTAATTTCGCAATTACAGGTATTATTGATTGACCTTCATTACTTTTAATTCAATTATTTTCATAGTTATAATTCATATTTTTAAACTTTCATATTATAGCTACATTCAAATGATTAATTATAATAATTAAGATAAAAATATTATTTTCATTGAAATTCAATAACAAACAAAATCGAATTATTTAGACAAAATTCTTGATAGATAACATTTTAGTACATTATTACATTTTTCCCAATATGAATGTCCTATTTTATAAAATTTATATTAATGGACGAATTAAATTAATTTAATCTACAAAACAAACATTTTAATTACTAATTTAATACTATTATTTTCATAAATATGAAATTACTTGAGACTGAAAAACTTATGTATTATAGACGTTTCGTTGTAAATTACATCCTTTGTTCATATTTTGTAAGTAACGGCTTAACTATATATTTTATAACATTGATCTTGCAACTTAAAATAGTTAATTAATCCAAAATTCAAATTATGACAACATTAAACTAGTAAAATTATTAAAATATACCAAAACAAATGAATTAAATACCACTTACGAGTAATATAATAAATAAATATTAAATACAAACATAAAATGTTTAATGAGTATGTCAATACAACGTGCTAAAAGCGACCGATACGGGTACACACTACTCTGACAGCATCATCATTCATCAATAATAAGTACACTGTAAATTTCGTATATTATATGATAAATTCGTAATTAACAATTAGATTAATTAACATAAAGAGATAATCATTAGACTAACTCTAATCTTTAATGGCATTGAAATTGACTCAAAACCGTCGTCAACATCGTATATTATTTATTTATCAAGATATTCTAGGATGAAATTTATATTTATTTCAAAATTACCCGGGTTAAAATTTTTACATATCGAAAATATATCAATACCATGATTTAAATAAAATATGATTATGATTTTTTTTATGGAACATAATTAAGAAACTCCGATTTGAAATAAATGATACTTCAAACCTTTATAATTGTATATTAAATTAGATAGTCCATAAATTCTATATTTAATTTACTATTTAAAAAAAAACATATTCGTGCTTTGAATTATTTAACATTAAACTGGCTCCTTTTAATAATACAGTGTACCAATATGTAACTAACAATGATAAATTCCCTAACATGAGAAATCAAAAGAAAAAAAATCGATTTATAAAAGAAATATAGTTGGTCTTAATATCATTTTATTATTTATGTTAAGGTAGTATTGTATAACATAAAATATTTAGTTGGCATCCGTAGCCCAACCCTCACTACCCGTCATAACCTTTATTATATTCCACACAAAGGGTGAGGCGTAGGCGGTCAATAACACAATATCACACAGGGATTCGTAGAAACCAGTTTTCCATTTGGGCCAACGTTAAATCGTTTCTTTTCAGCAGATCTATACCGGTACGCATTTTGCCATCAGTTTGCTTGTCCTAGGCAGCTGTTCTTTTAGGCAAAAATAACAAGCGCACAAGATACAATCTCCAACCGAATCTATAAAAGGACGGTAAACAAGTAACTCCTTCATAAACACAACAAATGTGATTTCAACCTAATCGAAGTAAAACAGGAACATTAGTGCGTACGAATATTTAAAAAATGTAATATTATCATCCATTTTTAATGAATTTGTATGTATTATGAAGAACAATATTATATTGATAACTATAAACGAATTTTTTATTTGCAATTGGAAATAAGTATTCAAAGTATATTGAAAAATATAGTGTTATTAATAATTGCTATTTAAAATTAATTAACATAATTAAGCAGCACTATCTATAGAAATTAAAAATGATTAACCATTTTTAAAAATGTAAAAATTAAAAATTTAATCCAACAAGGGCATTTGCCTCGTTACATTTACCATTGCCATAAAATATAATAACATATTATTATTTTTTATATATTTAGAATTCAAAAATCATATCAAGTGAAACTAAAATTAAAATGTTTCGACCAAAATAAAACTTAAATAAGCCAAATAACGCCAATTTTAAGTATCAAATTTCAAGCGAATTTAAGAAAATGAATTTAAATAATGATTAAAATATAAATATATTCTTTTAAAGATAAAATTACAAACATAAGATATTCAACCTAGTCATTAAACTTACTGCAAATCATTTTTAATTGAATAAAATGTATTATTTACAAACCATTACGTTATACTTTATAAGTTATAACTTACGACACTGTTCAAACAATACCTATTTGTACATTTCTTAAAAATACTATATAAACAATGCAAACGCGTGTACATTTGTTCACAGTAATTGTTAATTGCTTAAAATCAATTTCTGATTCTTTTTGTGTAAAAAAACAAGTTTTACCGATGTATTTTTCGAGAAATTTTTATACATTTAATGAACTCGAACATTTTTCGTTTGATTAAAGAAAAAATATATTTTATTTATTGTTTTATTTTATTTTATTTATTCCTATATTAATAATCAAAATATTAATAAACATTAATTTAATAATTTACGAGTGTTAATTATTTACTATTTTTTAATTTTTTATTATTTTATCATTATTAACAAATTATTATATTTTAATAACAGATGGTAGTAAAACATGTGAAAAGACATTGTAATCATAAAAATTTGGACACTTAAGTATAAAATACATCCTTAATTAGAAATTAGTATCTATATTTAGTGCAACTGCTAATTACTAATAAATGTTTCAAAACCATAACATTATTTTATAATTTCATGGCTTTATTATTTTTATCTCTGCGGAACCTCGGTAGTATAATAATAATAATAATTAATAATTCATGTTATAAATGAAAATGGATAAAGGTAAGACTTAAAGCAAAAATACAATATTAAATGAACGACTAAAGAGGCAAAGAAGAAACAATTATTTGAAATTTTAAAAATAAATTTAGTCAGCTAAACGTAATAATTTTGGAATTATTTATTAACCGATATTTCACAGTAAAATAACATTCATAATCGTCCTGCAAACAACAATATTGACGGCACTACTCTCGATTTGTCAATATAAAAAGTCAAAATATTAAAGTTACACTCTACCAAGGAGTAATATAATTGCTTTATGGCTACCTTTTGTTCCAATTTCGAGTATTAGACTTTCGACTACCGTATGGGAAATAAATATCACTTTTCTATACTTTTCTGTAGTCTATACGACTACAATTTACATAATAATGTACGACAAAATATTGTTACGGTTGTATATATATAAATCAATACTAGGTCGAATTGCAAACACATCTTAAGCGTTACGTTTACGCGATATTATATCGGTATATGTGGTGCGTACACTCAACTGTACACAGATACAAATTCATAATACCGCTAATGTTTCGCAATCGGATTTACGGTTGCCCACTCCGAACGATCAAAACAGCGAGTACAACCAATGCTCGTGCCGATAGCGACAAATATATTTACATCACAACACAATCGTTTTGGTCGTATCATTTTTATTACAAATCGATTCGTCTAACGGGAGTAGTGCAATTGATATATGATAATGATAATTTTGATGTGCATCGGAGCAGTGCGACGACTACACAGCGAATTGTGTGCCCGCTACTGGTGTTCTGTATTTATGGTTAGCGGAGATCGTCTGTGACGAATTCGTTCGCCTCGAAATTGTCGTAAATTTCCGATCAAACACACGCATTCGCAATATCGAAACAGCACGCGATGGATGATAATAATAATAATAATACGATTTAGACGTGACGGCTGTTCTGACATTCCGCAGGACAAACCTCATGGCTTGCGCGTAGATTGCGGTACCTTGGCACATTGCCGTCACCGTTATCACGTTCAACAACAATGTAATTATTTAGCGTAAACAGATAGCGGGAGTGCGCGATGAATCGAGCCGGTTCGTCGATTTGTGTGTGGTAATTCGCGAGAAAACAAATAAAAAAAAAAAATTGCAATACAGAACGACATCATATTGAGACAGATTTAATTTTAAATAAATATACCAGGTACCAATATAAACTGGTAAAATAACAGATCAAATATTAAGAAGGAAGAGGGGTTAAAGATTTATAACCAGGACGAATAATTGCCGACTTGGCTTCCCACCCTTATTAACCAACTTTATTTATGATACATATTACCCTCGAGTAAGTCAATCAGAACAAAATCACTCTGATAACGTACGACAGATACTGTGTTACTGATTTATTTTGTTATTATCATTGAACTAGTGCACGGTACAAGTATAATAATTATTTTAAACTAAAAACAGAGTGGATTAAAATCGATTTCGACATTTTTGTCTGTTGACTCCGCTATCAACATGATGTATATAAATGGATGAAACACTTGATGCATTTGCAACAATTCAAAGCGCAAAAACGAAAACGAAACTTAATCTTAGAAGCGGTCAATATACGTCGAATTGTATTAATTGATTTACAGTTTGTCAGATGAAAAAAATTAAAATAAATGGTCAACTTGGCAGCGCGAGGACGTATGTACCCGTAGTCTCAATGTTCCCCAAACCGGAGTAAATCTACCGCTGCCAGGGAAGGGGTGGGGTTTTGCAGTAGTCTAGTTGGAAAAGAAAAAACAATAATAACAGCAATAGTGGTAATAATATCGTGTAATCGTGACGGGTAAAGTACTCACGGACACTGTCGACCGTCGATATGCGGAGGAGCAGCAGCAGGAACAGAACGACGGTACACGCGTTGGCGGTCGCCATAGAAGCACATCGGATCGACTTTTGATAGTTCACCACCACGGCCGAAGGGACGACGACGACTAGCACGTCGTTTCTGACCAACACTCGTGCGGGTTGCCGTGTCGTCTTCGCGACCTGCTGTCGGACGGCACTGATCGGAAGTCGCGTTTTTCAACGCGTTCGCACCACCATAACGACGATCTCGTGTGTCCGATAGCTGCTGCTGCTGCGACGAGTGCGACGATATCGCGACAGATATCCACGGGAAATCGGGATGGACGGTGTTGCACGCAAACCGGGGTGCGGGTGATGGCGGGCAGAGGGATTGGGGTGAGGGAAGTGTGGAGGAGGAGAGGAAAAAACAAAACGAACAGTAAATCTCGATCAACCAAACAACGTGTAAACAACAAAAACGACGGAACGACGACGGTGTCAACCGGACTGTGATGACGGCCGATGCGCGCGCACTCACACACTGAAGGCAATAATATTGTGGTCTCGAAAACTCGCGCACTCGCGCACGCACGAACACGACGACACACGCACGCACGAGCGCGGGCACCGACTATCGGCGCGCGCACGCAACCACGCTGCGCTGTGCACCACCAGCGGTACGGTTGCATTATTATCGTGTTTAACGCGCCGCGCGTGCGCGCAGTGCACACCACTAACGGCGCAATACCGTGTCCAGCGAATGTTGTACACCCGTGCATGCAGATGTACGGTGACATGCGTTCGTAGATCGTCCGTTTCGCGGTGTCTTGTTGAACATTTGGCGGAGCGCGCGCACGAGAATTCCGCGAATTCGGGGGTGGGGGGAGGGTGTAAAAGAAATGTTTGCGAAAACAAACCCGATCTCGTCCACTACGACGTACACCTCGCGGTTAGAGCACAAAATCACTATCAATAATAGATACCCATATATTAAACAATACTGTCAGGGTTTAAAGGGGAGCGAGCACGCGAGGGGACTCGGTCCCTCTGTTTCTCGCAGCGCTTACAAACCGTCTATTTTAACATTTCTCCGTGACCGAAAGTTCACTAGGACGCTCTACCGTTTGGAATCACCCGAAATTACCAAATTATGTAGGTAAGGTAAAATGAAAATAATAAGAAAATTGATTGTATCTTGTGGTTATCGAATTTTACGAATTTTACGTGTCGTCAGCAGTCCACCTTAACTGAAAGATAGTTGCAAGAAACAATGATTCGCGAACACTAACCTACTCATATCAAATATTAAATTATACAACACATATTAATTACTAGTAATTGTAGGGGCATAAAACGCTCAAAATGGTAAATTCGCCACTTAAAGCGCTGATTATTATGATATTGGTATTATTATCAGGACTTATTTTAAAGCGCAGTTGGACTTATTTTGCGTGATTGGATAAGTTTGTTATGCACTTCATAATCAGTTTTTGCGTAATTGATTTTTATAATTTATTGCCACATTAATAACATGAAAATTAATAGTTGTTCGTATAGGTATTAATGTGTTATGTGTTTTTGCAATAAAAAATTATTTTATCATGTAGTAACTATCGGTTTTTAATTGGTGTACAGTGTTTGAATTACAAAATTACAACGAATATTGTATACTGATGTTTAAAACAGTTATACGTGTGCTTTAAATCCAATGGGAAACGCTGTAGATGGAAACGAAATGAAAATCGAGTAGTTTGAATTTTGTTCCGTGTAACACAGACCGTTTTCGATGTTAAGAATTGAGAAACTAAAATGTGTGTATCGTATTTGGTGTTCGAACTAAAATCATATAGTTTTACGAATAACATAGACGTATTTATATATTTTTATTTATCATACTGCAATGGCGTAAACTGGGGTCGCACGGGTCGCACTTGTGACCCCTGATATTACTACAGGGTCATATGAATATATTATTATGACCTCAAAATATAATGTTTACAGTTTTCAAAAATAAAAATGAATTTACTTTAAAAATTTGACAAAATTTTAAAATTTTAAAATGCCCAACTGCAATATCAATATTATAATAATAAAATAATTTATATTTGAAGAATCAATGTTTAAATTCGTGTTGATACACTACAACATTAGTATATTTATATTTTATAATAAAATAAAAAAGCAAAACAAAAATTACTCCATGATTAATACTCGTAAATGAATATATAAATAAATAAATAAATAAATGAATGCTTATTTTGGAACAGAAAGTATCAGATAAACTTGGAAGTGGATTGAAGGAGGTTGAAAATACGTGCATAAATGAACATTATAAAAAAATATTTATTCTGCTGTACTGGATAATACTATAAATGAAACAAGTGAAAGATTTGAAAAAAAAAATTGATAAAAAAAATAGAAAAATGATAATCCAAACATTATTTTCTTCTTCTTCTTCACCTTCTCCTTTTCCACAACTATTTGAGGTCGGCCACTCTTGTCTTTGCTAATCTCTACTCGTCTCGATTTTCAACATCCCCTACGCTCTCGTATTATTCTCAATCGTATACAACCATATCTTTTTTGGTCTTTCTCTTTCTCTTTTCCTTTCAATGTTCATTTTCATAACAACTTTTACTGCATTTGTTTCGACTCGTCTCATCATATGCTCAAACCATCTCAGTCGGTTTTCTCTCATATTGTTGACTATAGACGCTAAACCAAAATATTACCTCTCACATATTCGTTCCTTATTCTATCCCAAACATAAATTATTTTAAACAAAAATAAATAAAATATATGGTTTTTATGAGAATAATATTAAAGGGGAAACTGTAATTTTAAACAGAATTTATGAAAAGGTACATATAGAAAATAATGTGCAATCAAAAATCAATTTTATTGCATCAAAACACTATAAAGTTGGGTTTCAAACAATAGCGAATTTCATTCAATTATTTATTAGTACATCGCAGACTATACTAACTAACTACGCATCATGCAAAAAAAGTTTTTCTTGTTTATGTAAACTCAAAACATGCTAGAGAACATCAATAGAACATTCAAGATTAAATAATCTTGGAATCTTACATATTGGCCTATTGATCTTGTTTGAGAAAACAGCATTCTTTTGAGCTTTGTTAGAACCTCATTTATGAAGATATTTTCTTTCGGAAGATTTTTATTATATTAGTTGTCAACTTATTTGTTTTCACATTTCTAATTAAATTTCCCAGTATTTCAGAAGTTGATAATTTTCCCAATATAACATTTTGTTTAGGAACAATATAATCAATTTTAAAAGCTTCATTTACATTTGGAATTTTGTATTTTGTTATTTGTTCGTATTTGTTTTTTTACCAATTCCATTAACAATGGAAATACAATCTTCATTTATTGCTTTTGGTATACCAGTTATTTTTACTGGTATTCCTATATTTTGTTGTTCAATAACATCAACTTTAGGTTTAAAATTGAAATTTCATCAGATAAACGTATTGATCAAGAAAAAATCATCCCAAATAGACAGTGCCTGCCCTAGAGGAGGGCAAGCTGTGCGATCGCACCGGGCCCCGCGTTTGTATAGGGCCCCACAAATTGTGTATTACGAATATCACAAGTAAAAATAATATAGTCCCAGTACGCAAATCGCAACCCGTGTGGTCTTGTAGTTTTCTCAGAAAACGGGTTGTTATCGACGAAAATTAAGACGGTATCAATTACGCATAGCTTTGAAGTATTGCACGCGCATACACTTGTGAAATTGTTTATCATGGATGTCGTTTCGAAATATTATTTAGTTATATAATAACATGAACAAACGAAGATTTTTATAAACAATTAATAAATTAATAAATATAAATATTAAAATAAATATATATATATGGGGACCCGCAAAATTCTGCACCGGACCCCGAAAACCATGGAGCCGACACTGCAATTAGATATAGATGAAATCATAAGAAATCCAGTGTCACCGGTTTAGGTCACCGATTACTACTTCAGTCAATTTAATTATTTCCACAGTTAAATAGTAATTAATATTTTAATTTATAACTATGTATTATGCTAATAATTATAGGCAATATATCTATTTAAATTCAATATAAAAACCATACATAATATAAAACTTATTATCTAATCTGCAGTTGTCATTTAAAATAAAAACATTGCTGTACAAATTACATAGGTATTCATATTTTATTAAAAAATATTTTACACACATTGATGGTATGTAGAGCGCATATTTGTATGCATTTGTATTAATTAATTTGAAAAAAATAATAAAAAATAAATAAATTCAAAAAATAAATTATTTTTTGCTAATTTTTTTATGCATACTTTTTTTTTATTTATACTTATTTTAACATTATAGTGCATATATTTATGCCTGCTTAAGATTTGTTAGCGCATATATGGTTGGTTTTTATTGCGAATAAATCCGCGCATTATTGGTATGTAATGACGGAAGTATCTATTGATGGTATATATTCATATTAGAATGTACTAACTACCAATATAAATAAATATTATATGCAATTAAGGTCAAAATAATATTGTAGAGATTGTGCAGTTATAGTTTCAAATTTAAAATATAATAAAACAGAAATTTGGGATTAAGTGAGTGGGGAGCAAAGCCGCCGAAAATTTGATTGCCCTACAATCGTCTGCAATCCTAAAAATGTAGCCCAATTTACGCCACATCAGTGTAAACCGAAGACTCAAAAATGATGAAAATCAAAACAGTATATGTAGTTAAACGGTGAACAAATATTTATAAATTGACTTTTAGAAACACACAGTTGTATTCAATCACTGTACACTAACTAACAAACGTTAGTGTGTGGCCACGTTAAGAATACCGCTTAGGAAAAACACCGATTAAACGTTTACCAGCGCGTATAATCGCAAATCACTGTTCAGCGACCATTGAACAACAACGGCAACCGGCAACGACTTGTTTTTCATAAGAACCGAAAACTAGAAGTTGACAAAATGAGTGGTTCTCAAAGGCATAGCAAAGTAAAGGGACACCTTTGAGTTAAATTAAAATTTGGTTTTTTTATATAAGTGCGATAGACAAAATTTTCTCTAAATCTAGTTAATGTAATAATAATTTCATGGAAATATTTTCATTAAATATTTATATGTATATATAACTAAATATTTTCAAACAAACTATTTAAAATGATAAAATAACGGTTTTTGGATTTTTTTAAACTCACTTAGAAAGTTGTAAAAAACTTAAATCATTACGTTCAGTTAATATAGTAAGTAGTTGGGTAGATGTACAATAATACGAACTTAAATGTACTGATGGAAAAACTAAAAAAAATATTGTATTAATCGATTAAGAAAAACGAAATCTTAGGAATCATTTGTTACCTATGCCCAGTGGCGTAGCCAGGATTTTTAAATGGGAGGGGCTAACCACTTTTTTGGATAAGTAAGGTAAGAGAGGATATGAGAATTCACCCTAAACCCCCCCCCACCATCTACCACCAAGTTTCTAAACGTAATTCAAGCATTTTAGTATAGTTTTAAAAATATTTATTAATATATAATT